AAAATTAAAAATTTATTTTATATAAAAGATTTAAATTTTATTAAAAATAAATTTTATATTTATATTAATTTAAACAAAATTATAAAATTATTTATGTAAATTTATTAATAAAATATAATAAAATTAAAATTTTTGTTTTATATTAAAATTTTTAATTTTATTAATAAATATTTTTAATATTGATATCAAAATAAAAAATTATAAATTATAAATTATATTTGAATATTGTTACTCATTTACTTGGATTTCAAATATATTATATCTTTTTATATGCTTAACATGTGTTTCAAGTCAGATGAGAGAGATAAAATAAATAACTAAAGATGGTGATGTGTATTCATTTAATTACTAGTCAACTAAAAAGTAACTTAAGAAATCTTTTTATAATTTATGTGTATTTAATAAGATAATTATGATGATAGTTTATCGACAAGTAAAATATTATAAATTCAATTTATTAAATTATTAAAAGTTGCAAGTTTATAATTTATTTATAAATATTATATATTTTAGTATAAAGAAATAATTAATTAAATTATAATATATATTATTTAAAGTTATTAAATATTTGTATTTTATAAAATATAAAAATTTTTCAACTAAAAAATTTAATATTTAAATATAAAGACTTTTTTTACTATATTTACAAATAATTTTTGAATTTATTTCTTAGTTACAAAGTTTATATTTTTATAAAATATAAGTATTTGATAACTTTAAACAGCATATATTTATTTTTTATTTTTAATTATCTATTAATTAGTTAATAACTTTTATTTAATTAATAATTATTTATTTTAATTATAAAGTTATTTTATTTTGTTTATTATCTTTTATTTTAATTACAAAATTATAATTATTATTTTTTGTTTTAATTACAAAATTATAGTTATATATATTTATATTTGATAATTTTAGTATTAATTGTAAGAATACTTTCTTACGTGAAAAGTAGTAAGATAAATTTATTAATTGTTGTAAATAAATTATATCAAAGATAAAAAAAGAGATTGGAAGAGTGTGTTCAGAGAGATAATTGATAAAAAGAGGTTACTAACTAAAGAAAAGAGTATTAATATTTCTATATTTGTAGTTATATGTTTTAGTACTTTCAATATCAAAGAAAATAAATAACTAAAAGAAATATCACTTATTTAAAGTTACGATATACAACTATACAAATTAATATTACTTATTTAGAGTTATAATGCACAACTATACAAATTAATATCACTTATTTAAAGTTGTAATACACAACTATACCAAAAATAATGCTATAAAAAATCAATATACTTATCCAAAAATACTTAACTATCTTTTTCAAACTCAAAGACAAAAGTAATAATCAGAAATTTAATTCTATACAAATCAATATTCAGTTTCTTAATCTTGCTCAAGATTTACGAAAAGTGACTTGAATTACAAAATTTGAAGTTCAATTAACAAATTATTTTTGTTAGACAACTTGTTTTGATAGAAAAAGATACAAGAATAAATATTAATTTTATAACAATAAGATAATCATTAACTTATTGTAGCAAGATTAAAATTTATTAATTTATTTAAGCATTGAAACATGAAATTAATATATGAGAGAGTATTCCTATTTATACAAAATTTATCAATACATTTTAATTTTATCTATGTTATAAAATTATAAAAAGATATATATAAAAGATAGAAAAGGTAAATAGAAAAAGGTAGAAAGTAAGGGTAATAAAGGTAGAAAAGATAAATAATGAGAGTAGAAAAGATATAAAAGGTAGAAAAGGTAAATAATAGAAGTATAAAAGGTAAAAAAGTTAAATAACAAAGATAGAAAAGGTAAAAAAGTTAAATAATAAAGGTAGAAAAAATAGAAAAGATAGAAAATAAAGATATAAAAGAGTAGATAAATAAGATATAAAGGGTAGAAAAGATAAAAAATAAAGGTATAAAGATAGAAAAGGTAAAAAATAAAGATATAAAAGATAGAAAAGATAGATAAATAAGATATAAAGGATAGAAAAAATAGAAAATAAAGGTAGAAAAGATAAATAATAATAATTATTATACGATTATTAAATATTGATATATATATATACTATTTTTATCGATTTGTTATTTTATTACTATTTTTGAAGATTTTCATATTTTTTACTATTATTGAAAGATTTATTAATTACAGAATTATTGAAAATAAATGTAACAATAATTAAAATATATGAAAAATAATTAATTTTATATGCAATTAGAATAACTTGATTAGATTAAATTTTAAAAATAAATAATATTATTAGTAAAATTAAAAATTATTTTATAAAAAGAAAAATCTATATTTTACTATATTTAATTAATAAATTTTGATATTATTGCATTATTTTTAATTGTTACTATATATTAATAATTTTTTCAATTTTTATATTAATAATTCTTATTTTTTTGAAAAGATACTCTTCTTATTATATTTTAAATTATTATATAATTAAAATTTATTTATTAATAACTAAATATTTAGTTTAAAAAATTCAAACAAGAAAATATATTTATTATTTTCTCTATAATTACACTAGCTTATAGCAGAATTTTATAATAAATGTGCTTATAATGAAATGCTTTTACTATAACGGGTTCTTGAAAAAGAATGATTATAAATTTTTATATAATATAACTATAGAGAGTTTGACTGTATTTGTTTTTTGTCAGAAAAAACAAATATGTAATATTAATTAGAAAAATAAAATCCTATAAGAACATCAAATCTAGTTCAGATTTTTCATTACTGCACACTATATAAGCTAAAGAAAATTTTGTTCCAGGTTGACAATTAAAATGTTGTTAAACAAAGTGTTACTTATCAAAAGGTCATCATAATCAAGGTTATTTAAAATTTTATGATCTGAATTTTTATTTTATTTTCTAAATCTGAGTTACTTGACTTTAAAATATATGCTTTAATTCAAAACAACAACAATAAGTTATATTCAATCCTTGTGACTTTTTTGTCAGTATAACTTAAGTTATAAAAGAAATATTTATTACTTCTTGAGCTATAATCGATTTAATTATATCATAAAAAGTTGATGGCTTATGGTATCTTCCACTGTATGGAATCTGGAAAATTCTTTACGATAATCTACCAAATATTATCGTTATGTAATCCGCCATATCTTTTGCAATATAATGTTACATACGTAATAATGAGCAGCATCTCGCAGTTATTTTTTCCAGCGTTCCGAATCACTCAAAAACATATAGCGATAGACTTTGAGTAAATACGTAATATGTACATGTACATGTGTATTTCAAACATTGCGATGTTGTACATATATGTAATGATTTATCTTTTTATACTGTACATGTACGTAGTTAAATCGATCCAGGATTTCGCCACTATGGTGGTGGTGCGGTAAGTTACTTAAAGATAGGGAATCAGTGTTGCGTAATTTCAATCGAACTAAAATTACATCTCTTTTTTAACTCGTTCGTGATTGTTGCTTGTTGGTCGGTAAAGAGAGCAATACAATCGACAGAATAAACATGAGACTCCAATATATTTTCTATATAGATGAAAACATTCTCTTTCATTTGTGTCACATGAGTTGTGAAAAATATCACGACCATGTTACCTTTTGATTTTTATTTTTATTTTTATTGATAATCTTTTGCGTCAGAGAATGATACCTGTAATGCGTATAAATCGAATTAACGAAAAAAAACAGAGCTCCTTGCTTGTACGATGCAATTTAATATCAACATAACCAGTAGTACTAGGTGATAAACTTGGTGATGATAGGTTCCGCTAAATTTGGGACGGAAATTATGTGCATAAAAGTTTGTTTTTAGAAAAGAGGCGGCGGTACTTTGTTGCGAGATGTCGTAAACAATAACACTTTATTTTTTGGCTTTTTTTCTCTGTTACGAATAACGTTATTTGCTATTCTCTAGCAAGAGTTAAGTCACGGAATTCAGAGGATGCAACCGTTTCGTGAACAACGACAAATTAGTATCAAATAAAAAAAGGAAAAAATCAATCAATCACAACAATCACAACAATCAGATGCACATGTATCGGTATGGCTTTTCTCGTGCGTATACGTAAATAGTTAAATAATGAGAAAATCAAGTAAGCATTACGTATATAGTCAATAATGTAACACGTCTATGAATATGAAACGGGATGTTACTCGAGAATTCATTATATAAATGAGATGAAAAGAGAAATTTTGTTGAAACCTACAGATTCATTGAATTGGTTTGCTGCTGTCGTTCTTTTCTTAGCTTAACTGCAAAGAGAGACTGGTCTCTCATTTATTGCTTGATTGATTCATACATCGTGCATCGGCAGTGCTTGTTGTCAACGAAAAGAGAACAATATTTGAGCAGAGCTCTCAACCAAATAAACTCACGTATAAAGCGAAGACAGACAGACAAACAAACCAACCACCACGATACATAAAAAATAGAACAGCGCTGCTAATTTTAGATAAATATTTATTGGAACTATTCTGTAAATAATCAACATAGAATTCTTTTTTTCTTTATAAATAAACCATTACCGTCCGTTACAACTTGTCTCCGTTCCAAAAATTTGATATTTTTTGGGTTGAATAATTATAATAATTGTTTGACAACAAACAAACATGACGAAAATGCACAAAATAATCAAATCGACAACGTCGATAATATTACTTCTCTCCACGCTCTTTACCACATCCAATACACTACCGATACCATTACAAAAACGCGGTCAATTCAGCGGCGATGCAACTTTTTATAATCCCGGTTTAGGCGCATGCGGCATAACGAGCACCGACGCTGACATGATTGCGGCGTTAAATGCTCCACAATGGGGGAATCCCGCAAATCCAAACGCGAGCCCTTTCTGTGGAAAAATGGCGACTATCACAGGGCCTCTTGGTACAGTCACAGTCAAGATCGTTGATAAATGTCCAGTTTGTAAATTTGGTAGCATGGATCTTGCACCGGCCGCTTTTAATAAAATCGGAAATCCTAACGATGGGAGAGTTTTGATTACTTGGGATTGGGCTGATGGTGGAGGTGGTGGCAAATCTTCACCACCACCTCAATCCGATCCACCACCATCTCCAACTCCTACACCACCACCAAAATCTACACCAACTATTTCGCCACCACCTGAGACAACTCCGCCTTCACCAAGTAGCTCGTCGTCACCATCAAAACCTTCATCTTCATCGAATAGCCCATCCTCAAATAGTAACAGTAGTAGTGATGATACTAGTAGCTCTAAACCTACATCCACAGCTAATCCGCCGCCTAATATCGCAGATATCAGCAGATCATTTTACGATGGAAAAGTCGCACCACATTTGCCATCAACAACAACGCCATCAAACCCTCTGAAAAACTCTGTTACTAAACAACCATCGTCACAAGATGATAACAAAGATGACACACCTACCGATGATAACACAGATGACACACCTACCGAAAAAGTAACAACAAAAAAAGTATCAAAGCACAAAACAAAAAAAGGTAAAAAGAAGAAAGCAAAGAAAGAAAGGAAAGACGAAAATCACTAAATCAATTTTGATGAATTTCTTTTATTGTACAAAGTTAAAAATACAATGATTAATTTACTATAGAAAATAATCATTTTTCATTTTACATATATATAATTTACCCACAAATTCATTTCTATTTTATGCATTATTATTAGTTAGCATTTATTCTCTTTTTTTTAAAAAAAAAACGAGACAATGTTTACTCATTGGCTTTTCGCCTGGCGCGCGGGATTAAAAAATTAATAAAGGTCAATTTGCTGCTTGTAGCTGGCAAAGAGATGACTGAACCAATCACACCTCAACATGTCGTGCTCATGTTTTGCTTTTACGTATTCATCGATTTCAATTTAATGTAACATCCGATAGTTCTTTGATTGGTAAAAGTGTTATTGCGCGCAGCAATGGTTACAATGATTTTCCCAAAAATTGGTAAAAATATTTTTTCCCCTATTAAGTTTGAGACACAGGTTTCCAAACGTGTATAAAAGATAAAAGTGATTGTGGCGACAATAATCTGCTACCGAGGATATAAATAGATACCCAGAGGTTGTAAATTCGAACTTTTTCAAAAAAATTATCATTTCAAATTTTATCGTTATACGTATTAACATTAACGTTAACAAAACAAACAATGGATCAACGACCACTTCCCCAAGGATGGTTCGTATAACAAACACCAATATTTTGTGTCACTTCTTTATTTACCACTACCGCTACGTACTAACGCTAACGTTAACTAAAAAAATATTTTTTCTTATAAACTAGGATTGCTCAATGGTAAATAGAAATGCATTAAATGCATCATCATAATCATGTTTTAATTTTTTTCTTTTCGCGGTAATTAGGGATACAAAATATCAACGACACTACTTTGTTGGTAAGAAAGAAATAACAAAAATTCTAATTTATGCGTGAGTAAATGCCTAATTTTAATGAATTTTGTCCGCATAGAACCTAGTAAAGGAATCACAACATGGGAGGATCCAAGAGGCCCATTACCTTCTCAGTCTCACACAACAGCTCATTCGGCCACAAATAATCATCAAGCCACAAACCAGTCTCATTCTCCATATGTCGCACCTCAACAGCATCAACAACAACAGCATCAACAGCATCAACAACAGCAGCATCAACAGCATCAACAACAACAGCATCAACAACAACATCATCAACAACATCAACAACAACAACATCAACAACATCAACAACATCAACAACAACAACATCAACAACAGCTACAGCTACAACAACAGCAACAATATTATTCTCAACAGCAATATCAGCAGCAATATCAGACACAACCAAAGCTACAGCAACAACTACATCAACAACCACAACAACAACTACATCAACAACCACAGCAACAACTACATCAACAACCACAACAACAACCACAAAACCCACAAAAACCCACAAACAATGCTGGAGGAATTTCTTTGGGAAAAGCAGCAATGTTTGGCGGCGGTGCTGCAGTTCTTGGTGCTGCTGCATTGAGTGCTGCAAACCCAAATGATAGTAGCGATGATTCTGGTTCTAGTGGCCTCTTTGGTGGACTTATGCATGTTCCAAATATGGTTGGAAAATTACTGTTGAATGATGAAAGTAGTAATGATAATAATCAATAGCGATAGTGAATGGATTATTTGAGATCTTATCTGTCTGTAATAACATTTATTATTCCGAAACCTCAATATACGTACATGTACATGTACAAGAATGTAATTAATAACGTAATAATTAAAAATTCATTTTTAGATAAATATTTTACCGTAATATAATCCGATAAATCGATTTACAAACGAAAGTAAATAACGATTTCCACACATACCGATACGTATAAATCATCGTTTTTTAAATAAAACACTGTCATAATTACTAACGCCAATAAAATAAACTTAAAGATGGCATCTAAAATTTCGAACACTCATGATTGTGGTAAATGTTTTCGTTGTTCCTGTAATCAATACGGCAGAAAGTGTTCAGTTCGCAATACTCATGATTGTAGTAAATGAACTCTCGTTGTCAAGGAAATGAGGACTGCTATCCATACTGTGAATATCACAAACGAATTTATAAAGCTGAAGACGGAACGAAAGATATCGACAGTCTAATAAATAAATGCGACAGAATTTTTGATGAATATAGAGGTTTCGAATGGATCCCATTTGAGAGATTTACCAATGTTGAATATCTTGCAAAAGGAGGTTTTGGGACAATTTATAAAGCATCGATGCACGATTACAAATCATGAAGAACCCAAATTCAAATGATATGGAGAACACGTAGTTGTATTGAAATATTACATAATTCAAAGCAGATTACATCCGAGGTTATAAACGAGGTAAAATGAACATCTTTTAAAGTGTAAACATATTGCTTTTTTGTTTTTTAGCATAATTAACCTTTTCAAAATTAGATTCAGACTGCTCTAAAGTTCAATAATACATGTAAATATATTAGTTATCGCTATCATTATGGAATAACTAACGCTAGCTACAAATGAAACCAGTATTGTCACGGAACATAGTTGGAACATAGCCAGGACGTAGTTGGGACATAGTAGGGACGGGACAATTTCAAAAATGTTTGAGACATAGAAATGTACATCGCGAAAAATTTGATACACAATTTTTTAAACATTCTATTTGAATGAATGAATGTACTTGTTATTCCGACCCTTTGAGTCCTGCGAGGCTGGGTTGTGCCCTCACCAGCTCTGGCTTAGACGCCATGCTCGAAATGGGTTCGCAACGAAGCTTTTGTTTGAAAAAATGTTGTTTATTGTTCTGTGCCACAGCAGGGACTCTCGATGTCATCGTGGGCCGACCTATTTAATTTATACAAAGATTTCTGGTGGTTATTTATTCATCGAATTTCAACGGCAATAACAATTCTGTTACTCACCTTCAGATTTTGTATTTGTTTATAGACAACGCATAACTTTTTTCAGGAATTCAGACTTCATGGTATGTTTCCAGGCTTTGTGATTTCGTTGCAATTTTAAAATCATTCCTCTTTATTTGATTGTTCCAACACGTGTTCAATAGGACGTTTACTGTTCGTTTTATGCTCTTTGAAATCGATTTTTTGCTATAGCATCAAAATAGTATACAATATTTTAAAACGTTAAGACTCTGTCGTTGTTGACGGGTATCTTTTCCATCATTCTCAAAATTAATATCAAACATTATAAAATAAAATATAAATAAATAAATAAGGTATTTTGACGAATGGGATATTGTGATTGTAAAAAATTACCAATATCTTTTTAAAATAATAGATAAAACTCTTTTTCATAACGATAACGATAATATGCGAAATGTTTTATGAACATGGCACAACAAGCTGACTTCCAAAACTTGACAGCAGCACTTCAACAATTAATCACTGCAATTCCACATCAAAATAATGCTTTAAATACCTTGAATGTCAATGTACAAAATAATACACAAGTACTCACCAATCAGCTCATGAGAGAATCAAAAATAGTTGGTATTTCTAACTTTAATAAAGGAAACCAAGATCCCATTAGTTGATTAGAAGAATTCACTAGAGCATGTGATGATACCAGAAAATTACTAGTAGTATCTGCTTATTTAAAAGGACCAGGTGGACAATGAACCAAGTATTAGTAGTTGGAGATATAAATAGAATAGTTCAATAAACTGGAAACAATAATAATACTAACTACCTTTTGTTTAATTACTTTGATTAAAATTTGAACAACTAAATTAAAAAAGAAATAACAAAACTTAAATAAGAATTTTGACTCTTATACAAGCACTTTACAAGAACTTTATAAAAAAGTAGAAGATAATAGATTTTAATAGCCAGAAGTTATAAAAGCAAGAAGATTAATAAATTATCTATTATTAGAATTATATCTAATAATAAAATCACACAATAATCAAACTTTCATCAGGAAATTTTTTGGGGTGATATTCATCAAGAATCATCGTCATATCTATAAAAATCGATAAATATCTCTCTGAAATATCGATATTAATCGATGATTCCAATGATCTTTGATAAATATCCATATCGATAATCATCGATCATTGTTAATATATTATTTATCAATATATAATAATATATCAATCATTATTGCAATATATTATTTATCATTAACAAATGATATATGTTAATAATTAACTCAAATGCTTATTTTAAAACAAGTTTATTACATCAATATCAGTTTAGATTATATAACCTAAATGAACATGCATACACTTATACATTCAATTATTTTCAAGACTTAAAACTTCTAAAATGCTTGTTATTCAATATTAAAAAATATATTTATTTAATAAATTTTCATTATTTTTTCCATATCTTAGTATAATGTGTACCGTCATATCAACTGAATCTAAAAAACACATATATATTATTTAGTCAACCATAATCTTGGGTATCTATAGAGTTTTATATTTTCATCTTCACTTTCTTCTAATATATCATATTATTATAATAAAGCGAGTTTTAATGGCACATAATTTTTATGTAAAAAAATTCAAATAATAATAATACCTAAATTAAGATTATTATTCATTAATAATAAAAGCTTTTATAATATTGATATCATAAATAAATAGCATTATACTATACCTTTCTGTACCAAAAAATTTCTCCTTTTTCATCAACAGAGATTGCTATATCACTGAACCATTCCAATCCATGAAATAAATTAGTTGCTCGAATAATATCAGTTGATTCCACATAAGCACTTGAATATATTTTAAAATACGCAAACTCTTGATCATATGACTTATCATTTAAGC